CAAGAGACTATAGATAGGCTCACATTCAGTTTATAGATTCACTAATAGAGCCAGACATTTATTTTTCAAATTGAAAAAATAAAATTGGATCTCCATGTTATAACATGCACAAAAATCAACTGAGGATGAATTAAAGGCCTAAATGTGAAAAGTGAATCTTTAGAACTTTTAGGAGAAAGTATATGAGAGTATATTTATGACCCCAAAACAGGGAAGAATCTCCTAAATAAAAAAAAGGAAGTGAAACATAAAATAATTAATAAATCTGACTTCATTTAAAAAAACTATTTATCAAAAGACATTTATGAACTTTTTTTTTTTTTAAAGATTTATTTATTTGCGAGAGAGAACAGAGAGACAGAGAGCACGAGAGGGAGAAGCAGATCCCCCGCTGAGCAGGGAGCCCGATGCGATGCGGGACTCGATCCCGGGACTCCAGGATCACGACCCGAGCCGAAGGCAGTCGCTTAACCTACTGAGCCACCCAGGCGCCCCCAAAAGACGTTTAAAAAGTGAAAACAAGTTGTAGATTTGAAGATTTATTTGTGATATATATAATCAAGAAGGATTAATATCCAGTTTACATAGAGGACTCGTATAAATCAGTAAGGAATAGACAAAGCAACAGAAAAATGGGCAAAAGATATGGACAGGCAATTCACAGGTGAGTAACCATGGTCAATAAATATGAAAAAACGTTCAACCTTACTAATAATCATGGGCCACCATATAAATCAAGCCACCATGAGAAATTCTCACATCTATCACATTTTTTTTTTAATAATCTGACAATACCAAGGATTGGCGAAGATGTGGATCAACAGAATCTTTTTTTTTAATTGTGGCACTTCTAGTTTATTTATTTATTTTTAATTTAAATTTTGTTAGTTAACATATAGTGTAATATTGGTTTCAGGAGTAGAATTCAGTGGTCCATCACTTTGATACAACACCCAGGGCTCATCACCATCTAGCCCACCCCCCACCCACCTCCCTCCATCAACCCTCAGTTTGTTCTCTATCGTTAAGAGTCTCTTTCGGCTTGTTTCCCTCTCTTCTTTTTTTCTTTTCCCCCTTCCCATACGTTCATCTGTTTTCTTTCTTAAATTCCACATATGAGTGAGGTCATAATGGTATTTGTCTTTCTCTGACTGACTTATTTCACTTAGCAATAATATACTGTAGCTTCATCCACTTCTTTGCAAATGGAAAGATTTCATTTTTTTAGAAAAGATTTTATTTATTTATTTGACAGAGAGAGACAGCGAGAGAGGGAACACAAGCAGGGGGAGTGGGAGAGGGAGAAACAGGCCTCCTGCGGAGCAGGGAGCCCGATGTGGGGCTCGATCCGAGGACCCTGGGATCGTGACCTGAGCTGAAGGCAGACACTTAACGACTGAGCCACCCAGGTGCCCCTCATTTTTTTTTTTTTATGGCTGAATAATATTCTCATGTGTGTGTATCACATCTTCTTTATCCATTCATTAGTAATTGGACATTTGGGCTCTTTCCATAGTTTGGCTATTGTCTATAATGTGAGCAATAGAATCTTATACACACCCATCAGGAGTGTATACATCTACAAACACTTTGGAGAGCACTGTGTTATGATCTGGTAGCGTTGACAATGTGTTTGTGACCCAATAATTCTACTCCCTAGAGTGCACAAGTACAAGAATGTCGATGACAGCATTGTTTGTAACGGCAAACGATTGGAAACACCTAAGTATTTATGAAAGGAGGAGATGAATAAAAAATTGTGGTGCATTCATTACTGTTACACGCTGAATTGTGTCCCCCTACCTCCAGATTACTGTGTTGAAGACCTAACCCCTGAGCACCTCGGAATGTGACTCTATTTTGGAGACAGGTCTTTTGCAGGGGTGATGAAGGTAAAATGAAGTCCTATGGGTGGGCCCTAATCCATTATGGCTGGTGTCCTTATAAGAAGAGATTAGGATGCAGACAACTTACAGACCAAGTGTTGAGGACAAAACAAGAAGGCAGCCACGTACAACAAGCCAAGGAGAGGTATCAGAAGAAACCAAATTTGCCAACACCTTGATCTTATACTTCTAGCACACAGAACTGTGAGAAAACAAATTTCTATTGTTTAAGTCACCCAGTCTGTGGTATTTTGTGATAGTAGCCCTAGAAAATCACAATTACTGGGGCACCTGGGTGGCTCAGTCGTTAAGTGTCTGCCTTCGGCTCAGGTCATGATCCCAGGGTCCTGGGATCGAATCCCGCATCGGGCTCCCTGCTCCGCGGGAAGCCTGCTTCTCCCTCTCCCACTCCTCCTGCTTGTATTCCCTCTCTCGCTGTGTCTCTCTCTGTCAA